ATTGTTCGGATTGTTATAACATTGTTCGGATTGTTATAACACTGTTCGGATTGTTATAACATGGTTCGGATTGTTATAACACTGTTCGGATTGTTATAACATGGTTCGGATTGTTATAACACTGTTCGGATTGTTATAACATGGTTCGGATTGTTATAACACTGTTCGGATTGTTATAACATGGTTCGGATTGTTATAACACTGTTCGGATTGTTATAACATGGTTCGGATTGTTATAACACTGTTCGGATTGTTATAACATGGTTCGGATTGTTATAACACTGTTCGGATTGTTATAACATGGTTCGGATTGTTATAACACTGTTCGGATTGTTATAACATGGTTCGGATTGTTATAACACTGTTCGGATTGTTATAACATGGTTCGGATTGTTATAACACTGTTCGGATTGTTATAACATGGTTCGGATTGTTATAACACTGTTCGGATTGTTATAACATGGTTCGGATTGTTATAACACTGTTCGGATTGTTATAACATGGTTCGGATTGTTATAACACTGTTCGGATTGTTATAACATGGTTCGGATTGTTATAACACTGTTCGGATTGTTATAACATTGTTCGGATTGTTATAACATTGTTCGGATTGTTATAACATTGTTCGGATTGTTATAACATTGTTCGGATTGTTATAACATTGTTCGGATTGTTATAACATTGTTCGGATTGTTATAACATTGTTCGGATTGTTATAACATTGTTCGGATTGTTATAACATTGTTCGGATTGTTATAACATTGTTCGGATTGTTATAACATTGTTCGGATTGTTATAACACTGTTCGGATTGTTATAACATGGTTCGGATTGTTATAACACTGTTCGGATTGTTATAACATGGTTCGGATTGTTATAACACTGTTCGGATTGTTATAACATGGTTCGGATTGTTATAACACTGTTCGGATTGTTATAACATTGTTCGGATTGTTATAACATTGTTCGGATTGTTATAACATTGTTCGGATTGTTATAACATTGTTCGGATTGTTATAACATTGTTCGGATTGTTATAACATTGTTCGGATTGTTATAACATTGTTCGGATTGTTATAACATTGTTCGGATTGTTATAACATTGTTCGGATTGTTATAACATTGTTCGGATTGTTATAACATTGTTCGGATTGTTATAACATTGTTCGGATTGTTATAACATTGTTCGGATTGTTATAACATTGTTCGGATTGTTATAACACTGTTCGGATTGTTATAACATTGTTCGGATTGTTATAACACTGTTCGGATTGTTATAACATGGTTCGGATTGTTATAACACTGTTCGGATTGTTATAACATGGTTCGGATTGTTATAACACTGTTCGGATTGTTATAACATGGTTCGGATTGTTATAACACTGTTCGGATTGTTATAACATAGTTAGGATTGTTATAACACTGTTCGGATTGTTATAACATGGTTCGGATGGTTATAACATAGTTTGGATTGTTATAACATGGTTAGGATTGTTATAACACTGTTCGGATTGTTATAACATGGTTAGGATTGTTATAACATAGTTAGGATTATCCTAACACTGTTAGGATTGTAATTACATATATTGGATTGTCATAACATCGGTATTAATGCTATAAAACCGTTTTTATTGTTATAAAGTTTAGATTAATGTGATTGTTACAACATTGTTGTTGTTAATACTACTGAGTTTAAAACGGACAGTGTATATGACTCTAAATCCTCCACGGACTAATGTCACCGGAAATAGAGAGCCATTACGGATCTGTCTGGACAACGTGACGTCATCCCCAACCCACAACTGATTACATACAATGTCAATAACTCGTCAACAACTCGTCAACTCTTTCTCCGTCGACCCACACAAAACAGCAACCCGCAGGTACACACCCTCCCGACTTCCCTAATTTGGCAGCCGATGGTTAAAGATTACTATTTAAAGAATCCGTATTGTGTCATTGTGACACTTAAACGACGTCCTCGCTTCTTCCTCCCATCATGCACGCGCCAAGATGTCGGCTGAGTTAAGCTGCACGACGCCCCAGAGTCTACTAAAGGGTGGAATTGTAAAACAACAAAATTAAAGCGTTTATTTGTAAATAGCAATGGCTCTCAGTGGAGTTCTTATTAAATCATTTTGTACATTTGAATACTTTCCGATATATCTATAGTTTGTACGTTTTACACCGAACACAACTTTAATTGCAAACATACTCAAGGCTCCTAAATAAACCGTAAGAGCGTTTCCTGCTTACCAGTTAACTTTCAAACGTTCATTTAAAAAAAAAATATGGGTAGTCGAGTGGCGCAATGGAAAGCGTGTTTGCCTTTCATCAAGACGGCCGGGGTTAGAATCCTCGATCCGACTGAAAAGCTTTGGGGTCACCTATACGACCACGTGCATTTTCTGTGGGTTTCCTCCCACATCAAGACGCCCTGCGGCCTCCAACCAGGCCAACAACAGTTATTAATAGGATTAAATAAAAAAAATCACGGACCTCCATTATGTTATAATTTTTGTCAAATAAGTATGTTGGTGATCACGTGATAATTACACGTGGTTTTACGCATGTTTGTGTACAAAAGACATGATTTTAGGCGTTTTTAACGGATTATCATTGAACATTTCCAAAATTTACATCGTCGAGCTCTGTGAACAAAAGGGGGCTATATATCAATAGTTCTTGTTTAACCACATCTTATTGCATCTAGATTTAACTGTTGATCCCTGGTTAGTCGTACATCTTTAATAAACATCAATCTAAAACATGACCATTATGAGATGTATCACTGTGTCACTATAGATGTTCCATACGTAGATAACCGTGGTCAATTAGGATAGGATTTCAATAAATTAGAATGATAACATAAGCTGACTTAAAAGAAGATGGCCCAGGGAAAAACTGATAGGTACAATCGGTGTATTCAGGGAACCGTATTTAGGACACGGGTGAACATTATAATCTGCCCTAGTAGAAAAGTATCAATTATTCTGCCCCAGTTATGTAACAGGTTCGTCCTGAATGCGCTGTGACAGTAACAGTTATGTAACCGGTTCGTCCTGAATGCGCTGTGACAGTAACAGTTATGTAACCGGTTGGTCCTCAATGCGCTGTGACAGTAACAGTTATGTAACCGGTTGGTCCTCAATGCGCTGTGACAGTAACAGTTATGTAACCGGTTTGTCCTGAATGCGCTGTGACAGTAACAGTTATGTAACCGGTTTGTCCTGAATGCGCTGTGACAGTAACAGTTATGTAACCGGTTTGTCCTGAATGCGCTGTGACAGTAACAGTTATGTAACCGGTTTGTCCTGAATGCGCTGTGACAGTAACAGTTATGTAACCGGTTTGTCCTGAATGCGCTGTGACAGTAACAGTTATGTAACCGGTTTGTCCTGAATGCGCTGTGACAGTAACAGTTATGTAACCGGTTTGTCCTGAATGCGCTGTGACAGTAACAGTTATGTAACCGGTTTGTCCTGAATGCGCTGTGACAGTAACAGTTATGTAACCGGTTTGTCCTGAATGCGCTGTGACAGTAACAGTTATGTAACCGGTTTGTCCTGAATGCGCTGTGACAGTAACAGTTATGTAACCGGTTTGTCCTGAATGCGCTGTGACAGTAACAGTTATGTAACCGGTTTGTCCTGAATGCGCTGTGACAGTAACAGTTATGTAACCGGTTTGTCCTGAATGCGCTGTGACAGTAACAGTTATGTAACCGGTTTGTCCTGAATGCGCTGTGACAGTAACAGTTATGTAACCGGTTTGTCCTGAATGCGCTGTGACAGTAACAGTTATGTAACCGGTTTGTCCTGAATGCGCTGTGACAGTAACAGTTATGTAACCGGTTTGTCCTGAATGCGCTGTGACAGTAACAGTTATGTAACCGGTTTGTCCTGAATGCGCTGTGACAGTAACAGTTATGTAACCGGTTTGTCCTGAATGCGCTGTGACAGTAACAGTTATGTAACCGGTTTGTCCTGAATGCGCTGTGACAGTAACAGTTATGTAACCGGTTTGTCCTGAATGCGCTGTGACAGTAACAGTTATGTAACCGGTTTGTCCTGAATGCGCTGTGACAGTAACAGTTATGTAACCGGTTTGTCCTGAATGCGCTGTGACAGTAACAGTTATGTAACCGGTTTGTCCTGAATGCGCTGTGACAGTAACAGTTATGTAACCGGTTTGTCCTGAATGCGCTGTGACAGTAACAGTTATGTAACCGGTTTGTCCTGAATGCGCTGTGACAGTAACAGTTATGTAACCGGTTTGTCCTGAATGCGCTGTGACAGTAACAGTTATGTAACCGGTTTGTCCTGAATGCGCTGTGACAGTAACAGTTATGTAACCGGTTTGTCCTGAATGCGCTGTGACAGTAACAGTTATGTAACCGGTTTGTCCTGAATGCGCTGTGACAGTAACAGTTATGTAACCGGTTTGTCCTGAATGCGCTGTGACAGTAACAGTTATGTAACCGGTTTGTCCTGAATGCGCTGTGACAGTAACAGTTATGTAACCGGTTTGTCCTGAATGCGCTGTGACAGTAACAGTTATGCAACAGGTTGGTCCTCAATGCGCTGTGACAGTAACAGTTATGTAACCGGTTTATCCTGAATGCGCTGTGACAGTAACAGTTATGTAACAGGTTCGTCCTGAATGCGCTGTGACAGTAACAGTTAGGTCGGCCAATGATTACCCTATCGCTATCACTGTCACCGCCGGGCCATAGACCTTTTGAGGCAGTGTTCAAACCACTTACAAAACCAACAATTTATAGAAACATCGTAAATTAATTTCAGGCTTTAAATGTTTTATATATTTGTTAAAATATTGAATGAATTGTGTCACTGTGAAAGATTGTACCTGTTCTCTTTTCCAGGGAATGCCATGCTCAGCAGGGACAGCCATTTACTTAAGTGTTAAAGTTGGATTTGGTTACTCAAGGCTAATAACTAAGACTACAACTTCCTTTTTTTTTTTTTTATATATTTTCAGACTCTCACATCCAGAGATAGATCTCTTTTCTGTAATGCTGAATGCAAGCTGGACCAGGTAAGTACTATTATAATTAAAAGCTGGACCAGGTAAGTACTATTATAATAAAAAGCTGGACCAGGTTACTACTATTATAATAAAAAGCTGGACCAGGTAAGTACTATTAATAATAAAAAGAAAATGAACCAGGAATACATTTTCTGAAATGATATAACCATTTTACATATGGAGTAAACGTCTATAGAGGGTATAAGGTGTCAGGACCAGCTGAGCCAATCAGGATAAACGGTAAATAGGGTATACAAGGTGCCAATCAGTCCTATGTGCATGGTATAATAAGGTACAGTATTATAAACCCCACCAACACAAGCACTTTATGGAAAAGATGCACTGAGTTATTAGATATTGTTTCTAATTCATTTGTTTGCAAAGTAAAATACATGTATGTTCAAAACAAATCTCCACCAAAACTTTAACACTAATAACAATTATACCAGAACTTAAACCCTAACAACACCAGAACTTAAACACTAACAACACCAAAACTTAAACCCTAACAACACCAGAACTTAAACCCTAACAACATCAAAACTTAAACCCTAACAACACCAGAACTTAAACCCTAACAACACCAAAACTTAAACACTAACAACACCAGAACTTAAACCCTAACAACACCAAAACTTAAACCCTAACAACACCAGAACTTAAACCCTAACAACACCAGAACTTAAACCCTAACAACACCAGAACTTAAACACTAACAACACCAGAACTTAAACCCTAACATCACCAGAACTTAAACCCTAACCACATCAAAACTTAAACACTAACAACACCAGAACTTAAACCCTAACAACACCAAAACTTAAACACTAACAACACCAGAACTTAAACCCTAACAACACCAGAACTTAAACACTAACAACACCAGAACTTAAACCCTAACATCACCAGAACTTAAACCCTAACCACATCAAAACTTAAACACTAACAACACCAGAACTTAAACCCTAACAACACCAAAACTTAAACACTAACAACACCAGAACTTAAACCATAACAACACCAGAACTTAAACACTAACAACACCAGAACTTAAACACTAACAACACCAGAACTTTAACCCTAACAACATCAAAACTTAAACCCTAACAACACCAGAACTTAAACCCTAACAACATCAAAACTTAAACCCTAACAACACCAAAACTTAAACCCTAACAACACCAAAACTTAAACCCTAACAACATCAAAACTTAAACACTAACAACACCAGAACTTAAACCCTAACAACACCAGAACTTAAACCCTAACAACACCAATACATTAACCTTACAAATACTAGAGTATACTTAAGGTGTCCACCAAGTTTAATTGAATAATTTATCACTGTCCATAAAGTCATACAAGGTTGTTCGGTTCGTTTAAACAAATGGTAATCCTGGAAAAGTACTGCATCAAGAAATGTTATCCGAACTGTATGTGGTCCCGTGTTTGAGGGCAAACCTTGGCACATGCATATTTCAAATCGGTAAAGCACTTTGTAAGACACATTGAAACGGTTCAATAAGTGAACATTGCAAAAATAGAAATGGTGTAGTTGGAGCAGGCCTACAAACAATGGGTACATACATGTGGGGAAGTAATCACTTGAGCAGCAGTCGGCTCATCTAGTTCTCTAAAACATAACAAAAGGAGCTAGCCTGTCTTGGGAATTGATTAAAAAGTGTGAAAGCACCTGGATGGGGCAGGAATACACACCTGGGCATGGTTACCATCAACATGAGTATCAGCGTGGCATGTATTTACCGCTATACATAGTCTACGAAATTGGCCTGTTTGCCCGACAATGCCCCCTCATTAAAGTAGGTATTACGTGGGTATTGTTTCACGCCTGACGTAGATGTTAGGGTAGTGATACATGTCAATGTTACTGCTCCAACTTTTTACCCCCGTTTGTGGTTTTATTATTCCAGTTTGGCTTCCCGTGTCACTGCAGACCCTGATTAATGTTCCACAATGTCGGTTGTTTTCACGGTAGGGTTTGCAGGTGTAAACAACAAGGATATTGTAGAAAGCTACATGAAAGTATTGAACATGTGTACATATTTACAGGCAGCAAAACACATCAGGTTGGTGTAACAGGCAAAATTAGGTTTTCTTTCTAATTATCTTTCCTGGTGTTTTTCTGTTTGGTGAATACAAGCACTGTACCCATGTCAGACATACAGGGAAGCGCAGGCTAGTGGTTAGGGGGTGTCACTTTCTAGTCATGCTTGCTTTGTTCATATGGGTCGTTTTTACATGGTAAATCTGTATAACTCAGGGCCCTCCATGTTCAGCTTGTCACTTTGTCATAGTTCAATCTTTTGCTGTTACAGATAAAACAGGAGATGTAGCTGTATCTGATACTCTTTTTATACAATAAACTCTGGAATACATGAAAGCATTGGCTGGCATTTCTATCAAGATTTCCAGCTGTCACTTGAAGAGAAATAGTACAAAGAGTATTGTGTGTAAGATTTTTTTTATCAGTTTTTTCCGCTCAATATAACAAATATTTTGGCAGAAAATCTTGAGCCTTTTTTCTAGTTTCTATGGTGATGTACACTTAAACACTATAGTTCACATGTGATCATATTGTAGTGCCAGTCCATAAAAATAGTAATTCATTTACTACAGCTGGGTGGACTTAAGCCATCCTTTTGTTACTTTTTTGAGAAATTAAAAGAAAAATCCTCACAGAAGAAGGAGTGGAGTACATGGAGATATATTTCTGTGTTAAGGGCATTATTTAGTATATATTATTACAGTCAGTAGATATATTTCTGTGTTAAAGATATTATTTAGTATATATTATTACAGTCATTAGTTATATTTCTGTGTTAAGGGTATTATTTAGTATATATTATTACAGTCACTAGATATATTTCTGTGTTACGGGCATTATTTAGTATATATTATTACAGTCACTAGATATATTTCTGTGTTACGGGCATTATTTAGTATATATTATTACAGTCACTAGATATATTTCTGTTTTAAGGGTATTATTTAGTATATATTATTACAGTCATTAGATATATTTCTCTGTTAAGGGCATTATTTAGTATATATTATTACAGTCACCAGATATATTTCTGTGTTAAGGGCATTATTTAGTATATATTATTACGGTCATTAGATATATTTCTGTGTTAAGGGCATTATTTAGTATATATTATTACGGTCATTAGATATATTTCTGTGTTAAGGGCATTATTTAGTATATATTATTACAGTCATTAGATATATTTCTGTGTTAAGGGCATTATTTAGTATATATTATTACAGTCATTATATATATTTCTATGTTAAGGGCATTATTTAGTATATATTATTACAGTCAGTAGATATATTTCTGTGTTAAAGATATTATTTAGTATATATTATTACAGTCATTAGTTATATTTCTGTGTTAAGGGTATTATTTAGTATATATTATTACAGTCATTAGTTATATTTCTGTGTTAAGGGTATTATTTAGTATATATTATTACAGTCAGTAGATATATTTCTGTGTTAAAGATATTATTTAGTATATATTAATACAGTCATTAGTTATATTTCTGTGTTAAGGGTATTATTTAGTATATATTATTACAGGCAGTAGATATATTTCTGTGTTAAAGATATTATTTAGTATATATTATTACAGTCATTAGTTATATTTCGGTGTTAAGGGTATTATTTAGTATATATTATTACAGGCAGTAGATATATTTCTGTGTTAAAGATATTATTTAGTATATATTATTACAGTCATTAGTTATATTTCTGTGTTAAGGGTATTATTTAGTATATATTATTACAGTCATTAGTTATATTTCTGTGTTAAGGGTATTATTTAGTATATATTATTACAGTCATTAGATATATTTCTGTGTTAAGGGCATTATTTAGTATATATTATTACAGTCACTAGATTTATATCTGGATTGGAGACTATTTGTTGGGGTATCTATTTAATACAATCTAATGAAGGAGACAGTTTCATTAGTAGTTCAACTTGTTTGACATGGCCATTTGTACTCTATAAATATAAACACCCAGAGATGTGACCAAATCTTATTTGTATGATCTGATGATTAACATAAAATAATTATGAAGATGTGAATTTCAACCCATCAGAAACATTGGAGCAGAGAAAGAGAGTCTGCAGGGGTCAAACAATATTATAAAGTAGTATTATCCTGTTAAGTTATATACCAGGGTAACTGTTTCACCAGATTATATAACTGGTATACCAGGGTAACTGTTTCCCCAGATGATATAACTGGTATACCAGGGTAACTGTTTCACCAGATGATATAACTGGTATACCAGGGTAACTGTTTCACCAGAAGATATAACTGGTATACCAGGGTAACTGATTCACCAGATGATATAACTGGTATACCAGGGTAACTGTTTCACCAGTTGATATAACTGGTATACCAGGGTAACTGTTGCACCAGAAGATATAACTGGTATTCCAGGGTAATTGTTTCACCAGATTATATAACTGGCATACCAGGGTTATTGTTTCACCAGATGATCTAACTGGTATACCAGGGTAATTGTTTCACCACATGATATAACTGGTATACCAGGGTAACTGTTTCAGCAGATGATATAACTGGTATACCAGGGTAATTGTTTCCCCAGATTATATAACTGGTATACCAGGGTTATTGTTGCACCAGATGATATAACTGGTATACCAGGGAAACTGTTTCACCAGATGATATAACTGGTATACCAGTGTAACTGTTTCACCAGATGATATAACTGGAATACCAGGGTAACTGTTTCACCAGATGATATAACGGGTATACCAGGGTAACTGTTTCAGCAGATGATATAACTGGTATACCAGGGTAATTGTTTCACCAGATGATATAACTGGTATACCAGTGTAACTGTTTCACCAGATGATATAACTGGTGTACCAGGGTAACTGTTTCACCAGATGATATAACCGGTATACCAGGGTAACTGTTTCACCAGATTATATAACTGGTATCCCAGGGTAA